ACCTGCCCAGCGTGCACACAAACGCGCTGCCGCAGTCTCTTCTCCTCTAGCTCTGGCAGAGGCCTCCCCCGACCTCAGCTCTCTGTGTCCCGTGCTCAGTTCGTGAGCTTCTCACTGCCCTTCATGGCCCTCACCCTCGAGAGCCACATGGGCCTTTGCAACACAAACTGGAGCACCTACTGTTTTTACAGTCGTAGTTTTTCCCCATATTCTTTTCGTTTTCCAGGGTCACATATTATCTTCATCTGTGTATTCTAAGGCTCCTAGGTATTATAATTTCTCAGACTCTACTTTGTTTGTTTCTGTTAGTGGTGATGGTAGAGATTTATCTATTTTTATTTATTTTATATTGGTGCGCAGTTGGCATACTCAGTGATCATATTCATTGTGGGGCACTTACTCAGTGATCATATTCATTGTGGGGCACTTACTCAGTGATCATATTCATTGTGGGGCACTTGTGCCACTATATAATTTATCTTATTTTTTTAGTTTTTGGATTTTTAGGGAAGGTTCTACAGGGTGCTCAGGGTCTCACTGCTAGATTGGACTTGTAGTGATTCGCCTGTTCGCAGCCTCCCAGGAGCTGGGATTACAGGCACGCGTCACCATACTCAGTCTCGATTGCCATCTCAGTGCGCCCCAGGGGCGGGGTCGGCAGGCAAGTCCAGGGATCGAGCCCCCAGCCCCTGCGCCTGCTTGCAGGGGCTTTAATCTGCTGAGCTAGTTGGCCAGCTCTTTATAATATATCTTGATCATTCTTTTCCCCTTCTCTTCCACCCCTTCAGCCCTTCACCTCCACCCCATTTACAAAAGCATTGTTTCCCCTCTTTCCTTCCATTCTCTTCTTTATTCAGACCCCATTTTCCTTCTTTCCTTCTTCCTCCTTTGTTCCCAAGGCATCTGGACATGGTCTTCCTACGACCCCACACTCTTTGCTTTTGGTGACAGTGATAGAAAGCTGGGAAGCGGGGCTTGGTGGGCTGCCCTGCAACCGTGCTCGCCTGATGCGGCCCTCCCATCAGTGGTGCAGCACCAGTTCTAGAGAGGATGACCTAAGTGTGTGAGCAGCTCCGAATCTCTCCTCCCTTTCATTTGATAAAGATAGCTGGTGTGTGTGTGTGTGTGTGTGTGTCTGTCTGTCTGTCTGTCTGTCTGTGTGTGTCTGTGTACTCGCACATCTATTTATCAGGTGTAACTTCCACTTGCTCTGACCTCCTTCACACACCACAACACCTTTCTTCTACTCCACTTCAGTTTTTATCTCCTTTTTTTTCACTGCAAAAACCTTGATGCCAAGTGACACCAATCGGCTCCTTTTCTCATGTCTACAATGCACGCTGATTTCCGTGCTCTACATCCTAGCACTAACAAGAGCAAACCAATAATTTAAAGTGCAGGCCAGATGTGGTGACTCCAACCTGTTATTCCAGCACTTTGGGAGGCTGAGACAGGAAGACTGCCTGTTGCAGCCCAGTCTCAACCACTTAGTGACTTAATAAGACTCTATCTCAAAATAAAAAATAAACAAGAGGCTGGGACATGGCTCAATGCATAGGTCCTGGGTTCAATTCCTATGCCTAAATAAATAAATTCAAAACACAGTTACCATTATTTTAGCCTTAAGATATATCCCAACGAGGAGAAACACAGTCAGGAAATTTTATTTAAAAATAATCTCGTATCTACTTGACACATGGGTCGCCGCATTTCTATGTTTTTCTCTGGTGCAGCTTTGCAGAGGTGGCTGGAATGAGGATTTATGCATATGGATCAAGGGCATGTGATAACTGAATGCACTAACTGGCTTAGCACAGTTCTGGGTGTTGATGATGGGAAGACCCCTGCTGCATGAGGAAGGCTCCATCCAGGGGGCTTGCAAGCTGGGGGACAGAGGAGTCCAGAAGGCTGGCTGGCAGCTGTCTTTCCTGCCTGCCCTGCCAGGGACTGCTTCGCCTCCGCGGTGCCCCTCTGCCATGCCACCCAGCACTGGAGTGGCCAACCATGGAATGAAACCTTGACAAACTGTGAGCTAAAATAAGCCTCTCCTCCTGTAACTTGTGGGTGTCAGGCAAGTTTGTGCCAGGAACAAGGAAGACATGCTTAAATATTTATTAGCTGAGATCTTCAAAGTAAATGTGCTTAGTA